CAATAAAAGAGAAACAAAATTAGGTTGTAATAATACAATGACAAACATATGCACAAATTTTATGAAACAAACTGAGAAGAGACACTTGTGTTCCAGGAAAGGATTTCTAAATATGATGACATTTAAAATGAAATTTTTAAAAAAGAATAAGATTTTCCCCCAACCCCCCAGGAAAAATAAGCTACTTATGGCAGAGGAGAGTGATCATGAACTATAAATATTAAAATATTCCTGGGTAATTATTTTCAAATTACAAAACACGCAGATAAGAATGAGATTAGAGAAGAGGGGAGGGGTCATGTTCAGGGCTTGGGGTAAGCCATTTTAAGAAGTCATCAACTGATCCTTTAGAAAACAGATTCACTGAAGGTCTTTATCTGAGTGGTAACATGGACAACTTAGTCTTTAAATCAATCACCTCAGGTCTATGTGCAGATTGAAAGATGTTAAAGAAAAACCAATAAAGTTAGTGGAAGGGAACACCTGTAAAAATTCAGATAAGGACCCTCCCTGGTGGTACAACCAGTTAAAGTGCAGCACTACAAAGCTAGCCACAGCCACAGATGAGTTCGATCCCCAGCCAGGGAGGTGTCCCACATGGCGCAGCAGACCTCTCCCGTCTTGCCTTCTGCTCCCCTCAGCAGTGTATTTTAGTCAGTCTGCCTGTTCTGCCGCCACTGTCTCTGGTGAATCCTCTCACCACCCCTGCATCTCTGGCCTCTACCCTAGTTCTGTAAACATAAGTAAATAAAACCTTTAAAAATATCTGATGACATAAAATGAGGTGTTGATGTAGGTAAGAATAGAGAAGTGGGGTGGACTTATAGATATGTTAGGGGAAAAAGTAACTTTAATGGATTGAAAGTAGGGATAAAGATGAGTAAGAAGTAAATATATTTCCATACTTCATATTTGCAATGGGAAGAGAACTGCGCTACAAATTTAAAAAATTTAGAAAAAAATGCTCAAGTATCTAGTTTGAGGTATCTGAAGGAATTAAGCTAGTGATACCAGGCACTTTAGGTTTATAAACATCAGGCATGAAGGAACCAGATTTATTTATGAATTCAACTGTTCTCAAGTGAATACAAGGTACCAGGTATTATTCTAGATGACTGTTTCTGACCACATCGAACACAGAGCCTTGTAATGGAAGTGGACCTTACCTTAAATACACCTAATGAAAAATAACAACAACAAAATTGGGGGGTGTTATTTCAGATTAGCTAGTTAGGAGAGTTAGGGCATCTAGATAGAAATGGATTAAAGGAAAAAGGGAGAAAAAGTCACCTTGAGAGAGGGTGGAAGGAGAAGGGAGAGAAGGGAAATAAGGAAAAATGAGAGTGTGACAGTAATTTGACAGATTAAGGAAGTTAATCAAAGACTATTCTCATTCGTTTAGTAAAAGTGAAATTTCTCTCAAGGATTAATAACACCTGTTGGATGACTTTTTACTTATTTCTCTAAAATAACTAAATCAGAATAAATAACACAGGCCAATAAAATAGGTGCCTAGATTTTTTAAAACATTATGCAATATTTTAGATAACTAAAAGCGCACAAAATATATGATATAAGCATATCATACCCTTGCTTATCAAAAAAAGATTAACATACCTAAAAGTCAGCTAACAAAATTACCACTATCTAGCTAAGAATATGTCTTTGCAATACGGAGCATAAATATATAAAAGTTAAAATATTAATATAAACTTTATTTCTGCAAACATCTCTAGATATTGGTTTAAGTTTGTGTGTCTCATAAACTTCAAAGCAATTTTGTGCCCATTGTAGTCATTGAAGTCTAACTTTAATTAGAGGCATAAATATCAAATATTTTCTTATACATGTAATGAAAAATGCAATATTTCTAAATGCATGCAATACATCACATTTTATTATTTTGTTCTAAGTTTCAATTACAAACTTAAAATACAGTAACAAATCAGAAGTGACTGAAGACAAATTATGCCATTTTCTTCCTACAGCCCTCCTTCAAACAGCTAATGGGGACAGAAGCTACAAAGAGCTTCATGGACTTTTTTTCTTACAAGGAGAAATGCTGTACCAACTGTTACATACAGACAAGATGATATGCCCTTGATGTGTTGAATTGATTATGTGGAACAGTGAGAGAGCATTAGTACAAAAAAAAAAAAAAAAAAAAAAGACTACTAAAGCAGTAGAATTATGTTTAAGAGAAACTATGCAATTTTATTTTGTTGTATTTTAAAAGACTGAGCGTATAGTAGGGTATTAAATTTATATTGTTTATTTTCAGCTTTTGTTTTTCCATGTCAGGTTCAATAGGATTTTTAAGAGATCAGAACAGATAGTATACTTGTCTTAGTCAAACGGCTGAGAAGCAATTAGAGTTTTTGATTTATTAATAAACTTGATTGTTCTCTACAAATGACTAAGCTTCTCTTGTGGCAAGAATGTTGTAAGTATGCTAAGATCATCTATTTTCATTTGTAACATAATTACCTTACATGACTTACACTGGATTTCTAAGTATTACCATCTTCTGACACATTTTTTTTTTGTAAAGTTTCATGGACTTTGTCTTCTATTAATTCTCTGTTATAAATGATCTAGTGCCATGAAATAAAGAAATATGGAGACTTACAGGGAAAAAAAAATATGCCTATGCAGGAGTTTTGGTCTAGTCATTAATATTGTGAACCATATATGAGATCAGAATAATTTTTATTCCCAGAAAAAATTATTAAAAGAATATCTTCTGATTTTGAAGTAATAAAATTGAATAGGCTATGTTTTCATATTATATTTTGTGTGTCTTTTAATCAAACTTCACATTCTCAAATAAGCATGGTGGATTTCCTGCTGAGGTGTGAGATGGGAAAAAAGGGTTGAAAATATTCTGAAAAGAGAAAAAAAAGCATATGTAAAAAAATAAGCAATTAATTTATTTACAGTGTATGTAATAAAGATGCACTTACCACCAGCTACCTAGTAAAGCACTTTGACTAATTCATTTACAAATTGCTTAGTGATTTAAAAGATTTAAATATTGAGAACAGATAAAATTTTCTTTTTTATCATATATTTTACATCTTTCTTTTCAATTTTTTTCTTTATGAGTTACTGAAAAAATATTTTAAGTTGACTTACCATAGAGAGAAATATAATCATAAATAGATACAGATGGTTTATGGGTAGGGAGACAAAAGATTAAGAAGCAAATGTAAAAAAAAGGAAAAAGGACTTCAACTCAAGTATGCTCTAGAAAGTTATTCCAAGCAGTGTCAAACATAATTGAAGTTTTATCTATTAATTCAAAAGAAATTTGTTCTCTCTTTCTTCTCATAAAAATTGTATTTACAAATTGTGGTGATGATTGCTAGAATTTTCATTAAGCAAACAGTTCCCAAATAATTCTACCTTCTTCCATTTATTCTGCAATCACTTTTCTATATTTTATATCTTTGCATTATCTATGTCTCCAAAAGCAATTTTTCGCTTTTTCCTTCTTGTTATTTGTTGTAGAGAGAAAAAGACCTCAAGTAATCAAACACGTATGCACACATATTTTTAATATGAGGACAAAAATAGGTGCAATGCTACGCAAATGCCTAGGGACATAACTTTCAAAAGGTTTTGAATGCTAATTGAGATTTCTAATATTAAAAATAGAGAGTTTTCACTAAAAGATTGCTACAGATTCTATACAAAGTTTTTGATCTTTCATATAGGAACAGTTTTATTATGAACTTGAGTTCACATACAAAGTTAGAATGGCAATTACACTTCAGATTAACTCATTAAAAATTAATTCATCATATTTTAGATATGCACTATCTGAAATTCCAGAAGGCACTTAAACATGTAACATGCATCCCAAATGAATAATTTTTTTTAAAGTAGATGCAATGCCCATATTTCCAGTTCATGTATTATAATGCACAGGATATATCATTTTCTGAAAAATTAACAGAAGACCTAGGTCAAGCAATTTTAAAAGGCATGACTATCTCAGAGGTGATATCTTCTGAGTGATTGCTAACTTCTTTCCAGCTTTTCACCTAATTCAGAGAACATACTTTTTCCAGCTTCTGATAAAGTTGCTGGGTAGTATAGCTAAGACATATAAGGTGACTGAGAGACCTACTTTGTCATTTTGTCTTTACTCTTGTGAGGAAGGGGTTCTGTCTCTTTAGCTCTGGAAAATATTTGGAAATAGAAATATTTGGAAGTTTAAAAATGATCACTTTCCCATGCTTCTATCCATCCATCACTGAATTCTTCTGCCAGCAAAAACACAAGTCAGATTGACAGGGAAATTATATTTCTGGGTATGGCTGTATGAAGGGGAGAGATTTCATTTGTGGAGGTCACTAATGGAAAATTCCATTTATAAAGAAAGAAAAAAAGAGGAAAGCCTTTGCATTTATTTATGCATTGCATTTTCAGATGACCAAAATCCTAGACACACAAAGATCCACTAATACTTAACTAAATAGAAAATTTCCACAGGCTTTTCCTAAATGACAGTGCATATATCCCTATATACCAACTGCAGACTGTATGCCTTGGGCAGAAACCACTTTCCCAGTCTACACTGCAAACTTTGTTTAAAGCACTAAATACCTATCAAGACCTCTGTCAATGACAGCAGAAGGCTCCAGGCACTATTTGTTTCATAAGCCAGTATCTCGCTGACTCTTTACTTCTCTGCAGCTCAAGTTGCCAGCAAATGCCGAACTGGAGCATGAGAGGCAATTCTTGTTTGGTTAACAAATTCCCCGCAAAATATTCCCCCAAGCCCCCAGGAGCTGTAGTGATGTCATATCCGTTGTCCAGGTCTCCACACCTCTCTCGGCAGCTATTCCCTGTATCTTTTTCTTGGGTCAAAACTTTTGAGGTGGGTTGGCTAGATAGCAGCAGGAGAGAGGGTAAACTGGGGCGCACGGGTTGGAGGTACTTCAGCCTCGGTCAGCGCCCACTGCAGCCCAGCCCAACCCCTCTCGCGACTCCCAGCTCTGAGAATGCCTGCGGAATGATCGCCCCCCAGGGCGGCTGCCGCTGCCGCTGCCGCTGCCGCTGCTGCTGCTGCTACTGTTACAGCTCCTGCTACCGCCTCCGTCTCCACTCTGCTCTGACTGGCAGGCGGAAAGTGCAACTGACGAGGGAAAGGTCTCTGCAGTGAGTGGAGTGGCTACATAAAAGAGAGTAAAGAGGGGAAAAAACCCAGATCAGAATGCAGGCGACATCCAACCTGCTCAATCTCCTGCTGCTGTCTTTGCTTGCTGGACTAGATCCTTCCAAGGTATGAGCAATATTTTGACTCTTGTTTGAAATTAATGTGCAATATGGAACAAAACAGACCAAAAATGCAAATAAGTATGGCAAAAAATTTTTTTTAAAAGGCAGCACGAAAGAGAGCTCTTCTAGCTATCTGGTGGTGCCTGGAGTACGTAGCCCCACTGCTTGGAAGATAACAAGGTGAACTACCAGAGGGACAGATCCTCAAGGTAGAGTCTTGGGGAGAGAGGGGGGAGGGACCAGGAGCAAATATAATATGCTTGGGCAGCGGGCTATGCGGCTCTCTGGGGAATTTAGCTTATTCTGTATCCAAGTGTTTATGTGCTCTTCTGAAGTCAGACCGCTAATGCAAAGGAGTTAGCCATTGAAACAATACCATTTGTAAACATGTATTAGGAGATGGAGGTGGTGAGCCGTTTCTTTGTTGAAAGCAGAGAAGCGTTTTTTCTAGCAGATCTTGGTCAATAATACTCCCGGCGCCGACGTGCTGCGGTTTGTGCCCAAAACATTTGGGATGCTGCTTGTAACACACACAGGCAGAAGAGCAGAGCTCTCCACTCTCCACTGCCTCTGAGAAGCTTGGCGAAGGGGCTTGTGTTATTTGCTTCTTTCTTGTTACTACGAAGATTAGAGGGCACTGAGGAAGTTCTGATACCCAGGATTAAGAAACAGGAAGTGAGAACCCTAGGAAAGTAAGAGGGCAATGGGAAGGATGAGTTGTCTCCTAGCTGTTGAACTCTGAAAATGATCCAGGACTGGCAATTAAAGTGAACGCTAAGCTTTTTGGTTTTTTTTAAAAAAAGGCAGAAAATATAGAGAAATATTTGAGCGGTATATGAGATACAGTGAGGTAACTGGAGGTAATCTGTTCAGCATTCTAGAACATTATGTTTGTCTGGAGTAAGAGGTAAGGCATCTACCTGGTCCAAAGAGTAAGAGAGAGATTTCCTTTGTTACCTTACTTATTTAACTGGTGAAGAACAATTTGACACAACAGGGAAAATGATGGCATGTTAACGACCCATTTTAAGCTGTATTTTCCAATACAGTAAAGTTACTTAAAAAGCTTTTGATGATCTGTATGTTGAGAAATTAAGTGTCTTCCATAATCAAATAATACTAAGGTGAGACCAAGCATCATCTAATACTGTGATTGACTGATTTTAGGTTTAAGTGGGATATAGTGAAAGCTTTGACTGGTGTTATATATACTTGTTATAATTTCTATGCAATTTTCCTATTTAGAGTTACCTAGTGAGAATAAAAATCATTTTATTCTAAAGGTATAGTGGTACTGAGAGTGTCACTGTGACATCTTTATACATCTTAATGATATTAGTGGGCTATTTTACATACTAAAGGGTAGTTTGAAAGTATTTTACTGCACATCTAGGTAATAGTGCTAATTTTTTTCTTTTAATTTTTAAATCTTTTCTTTTTTGGTTTCAGCAGCTATAGTGATACATTCCATTGCCAATCTCAGTATATGCTGGTTAGCACTTTTGAAGACATTTCTTTATCTCAATTTTAAAGAGCAATACTAATTAGTAAGTCACAGAAGATTCAAAAATAATTTGACTGAATGTCAGTTTAATTCTTTAAAATAAATTCAGCAGTGTAGAATGTTATTAATAATTCTATGTGATTTGATTTGTATGGGATCTTTAATGCATATCTTCACCTCTTGTACCCAAACATTCCCAAGTTAAATAAATAAAAACAAAGAAGTGTTTCAGTTAAATATGGAGATAAATCCTCCAAAATAACCCATTTTGGTCAATATGACCTTTTCTAGTATTGATAAGTTCATTTCTATATTCAACAATATAAAACTTTTTGTCAGATGAATGGTGGTTATTTGGTACAAATAAAGGAAAATTCAGAGAAGGAAAGGCATAGATTAACTTCTCAAGCTGTCCTTTTCATCATCTAGCCACTGCAATACAATGTGCAAAGAACAGAGATGATATTTTGTTTTACATCACATAAGTCTTTATATATGTTTATGATATCAAAACAGTCATACAAGTAATTTTAATGTTGTAGAAAGTTTCTGGACAAAATCAACAACTTTGTTTTGAAAAGTGAATAAAAGCTTCTTTTGCATATTTTTACCAAACTGTTGTTGATCTGCAAAATTTTGCCCCACCCATCACAAATGACACAATTTTCAAGCTAAGTTGATTAGGTCATGAAATAGTAATTTTTTTCAAATTTTATTTACTATTATACCAACTAGGTAAGTGTTTAGAAAATAAGATTAGTATTCATAATATAAATATGTATGGAAAATTAAAATTTCAATACCTAATACCATACAAGGCTTTGTATGGTATTATTTAATACCATACAAGGTTTGGGAAAAGTAAATAACGATTTAAATGATAATACTTAAATTTAAATAAATAATTTAAATTTAAAGTAAATAACGATTTAAATGATAACACTTAAATTTAAGGAAATTCTAAATAATTGAATTTTTTAACATACTAGTATGTTATGCATTATAAATTTAATGATTATAATCACAAATAAATTCAGGTATTTTATATTATTACAATTTATGTTCATAGTAAGGGTGTATATGATCACACAGTGGATACACACAAACTGGCAAAATTGAAGAGTTCTCAAAATTGAATAGGTTTTTTTTAAGGTACCAAACTGTGATGTTAAATATTAGAAATCTAAATCTTAGAAAGTGGTCACTGAATATTAATTTATTTGAAAACAAAAGTGCTTTCTTACAACACTATTCCATTTCATGGAAGGTTATGTTTATGATCATCTTTTTTGAGATTGCAACTTATTGCATGACATTTTGTAAAGTGCTTAAGCATCGCCATCTTATGGTAAAATAAGTTAACTGAAGTCAAGTTTACTTCTAAATTAAAAAAATAATTCTATATTCATAGAGTGAATTATTTTCAGCATCCATTTACTTTTCCTCTCAGTTAATGGGTCAGAATATTGGCAAGATTAGTATTTTCTTTCAGCAAAGGAAGGCAATTCACCACTAATTAATTATTTGTATTTTTACTCTGATAGATTATCAATTTTCCTCTCAGTAAAATTAGGAAAATTATATTTTCTCAATTAAAATCTAATTAACAAGCTTCCAGTTCCATTTAGAAAACTCATGAATGCATCAAGTTGCCTATTTTAAGAGATATTCATTAATTTCATTTGTAATGGAGTGTCTCACTATGGGCAATATGCCAAATCATCATTCATTCAATAAGTAAATTTTAAGAGACTGAAAGCTTGTAGAAATTCAATTATTGCTCAAATTCATAAAGGACTGCTTTCTGTGTAGGAAATTCCTGAGGGCGGCTGCTAGATGGCATCTCTGTGCTTTTAAACTGAATGCACAGAGTTCAGTAATGACCTTGATAGCACGCACATACACCTCTTTCTTTTACAAGAATTTTTAGCAGATCACTATTTGAACATGATAGCAAGATTGTAATCCCTGTGAATCTGAATCACGAATTTCTCTGCTCTGCAATGCTGAACTGTAAAGAAAAGAGGATATAAATGTGACTATGTAGGTTTCAAACAAGATTTACCCCAGAGTCAAACACTTAGGGAAAGGCTTAAAAGAGGCAATATGGACATAGTTACACTTTGCCATGACTGTTGAACTTTAAAGCGATAATACTTGTATGATAAACATATTATGAAATGCCCTGGCAAGTACAGTTTGACAGGGCCCATTATCTTCTTACCTAGAAATGTATTAATAAATTTACCATCACACTGCTTGTTCATACTCTAACCATAAAATATAACAATGATTCAGCAAATAATCTTCAACACCAAACTGTTCTGTTAGCAGCCTGGAAGTTACATTTTTTGCCTTAAACAAGACAGATGCTTTTGTGGAGCACTGTGGGGGCCTTGTTGGTGGGTGTGGTGTGGTAATATATATCTGCAGAGTTGTGAAGCGAGACCTCTGACTCATAGACAATGTTGTAAACGAATATTACCTAAATAAAACTAGAAGAAAGACAATTGTTTTAGACATAGGATGAGAGCTAAGAAAATTTCAATCATTATCTAGGTCAGTGCTTCATAATGTAACATATGTTAAGTGATTTGTGTTTTTGGTGTTACTAAAGAAAATTATCAAAGACCTAAATTGGTTAGAGATGGTTTTTGTATATAAATCTACTTAAAGTTCTTGTTCTTAAACATTTTTAAGTAAAACTGGTTTCTTTAAAAAAGCAACAGAAGTAAACTGAGACCATAATTTGCTTTAAAGTTCACATAAAAAATTTACCTTCTTCTGTGCCTTCTATCTGCCACAGAAATTCTCTTTACAACAGGATCAGTTAAAATAAGAGCTGAAAATACAGATGGATGGCATTTGGAAAGACCCTCTAATTGTGTCCCAGTCAGCCCTAATATGGTAAAAGTGAAAAGTTCAAGGCAGCCCATTCATGTTCTAAAAGAGCAAATGACTTTGTTATTCTCTTTTAACCTATCCTCCTTATCACAATTACATTTTTATTTTGGAGAATGTAAATATTCTTTCTCATGGCAACTTGAAAAGGTTACAAGGATACTCCTTTCCTTTATTTTTCTTTGAAAAATTCTATTTCCTTGTTATTTGCAAGTGCTCTCTTTCAAAAATGACATCTGGGGCAATTGATTGAAGCTCTGCTGGGACAGAAAGCAGTGCAAGAGTGGGGACGATATGGGGCCGAATTTAGGGTCCCTCATTTCTCATCCCTACTTTACAAATGAAATTAAATTCCTTTGGGAAAGCTGTGATCCTGGTGTCTTCCCTTATCAAATGAGGGTCTTATATGTTCTTAAACTACTTTGTTTAAACCTAAAACTCTGTGCTAGGGTCTGCATAGTTATGTCCACCTTACGCGATTTATACCTATCTAAGACCCGATGTGTCAGTACTAGAGGTGGGCTTGGGAGAGGATCAGATAGTGAGGATGGAGTCTCACAAGTGGCACTAGGGCGCTTACATAAGAGGCACCCCCATCT